CAACCGTGAATAGGAAGGTTAACAACAAACCTTCAAAACAACTGAATGTGAAACTGCAGAACAGATTTGCTCCACTATCAAAGGACCCTGGATCTATATCGGACAACCATCCATCTAAAAGCAGCGAAATAAGGTCTGAAAATCTGTTGAAAAGTGAAAGGCCACAGGGAAAGCTAAAGGCTAGGCCTGAAACTCTGATTGTGGGTGACTCTGCCGTAAAGGATGTACAAAGGATGTGCGGTAAGAACACTAAAGTCCTCTGCTTTCCTAACGATATGGTCAACAACCTGAAGGAGAGAATTCTTCAAATTGCAGATGAATATCCAACTGTGACAAACATTGTTCTGCATACAGGGTCAAACGATGTGTCCAAACAACAGTCGGAGGTTCTGAAACGGGACTTTACTGGATTATTAAATACTGTAAACTCTCTGAATGCAGCTGTATTCATCAGTGGACCTGTACCGCCGGGTCAGAGGAGGAGACAAGAGATTCAGCAGGTTGTTTACACTGAATAAATGGCTTATATCAGCATGTGCTGACCACTCAGTGCATTTTATCGACAACTTTAATATTTTTTGGGAACGCAGGCATCTGTTCAAAGCAAATGGATTTAATTTTAACAAGTCAGGGGTGAAACTGTTCACCTCCAACTTGTTTTATTCCATACGTCATCCATCCGTGCTTGGTGCCAAGGCTGAGATAAACGAGGAGTTATCTCATAAAGAGGAACAAACAGAACTCCAAGAACAGACAAAGCCCAGCAGAAACCTTGAGGAGGAGCTCCATCTGCCCCCACCCGGGAAGAGCCTCAGAAAGGAGAGACATCTAAGGCAAGAAGAGGGGTCCCTATTTGCCTCCAACTCTCTCAACAACACCAACGACCAGGACCAGGGACCACGACCTTCCCCAGTCCCCCAAACCCCTGACAGGCCATCACCCTCCTCCCCCTCCCTTTCTCCCTCCTCCCCACACCTGAAATTCACTGAGGAGATGATGGAGCGGGTCAATGCTGGGCTCAGATCTACCCCCCGTCCCAATCCCTTTTTGTCCCCATAAACCCCCCACCAGAGCGGCCAAAGGTTCGCCATCGAGCCCCACCCTCAACAGAGCAATCGAAGTCACATTGCCCAGCCTCGCCCCCCTTAGTTCCTCTTCATGCTCTGTCTCCGCAGTCTGATGTGTGATGTGTGGAGGGTCCGGGCTGTGAGGATTATGGCAGTGATGACTTTTCCCAGGAGAAGCTGGGACCCTGTTTACCAGAAGGCTTTAAAATCTCTGTACTTTTAGGTGACAGGAGACATGTGGCCTGGTCAAAACACAGAGAGCTGCACTCTAAAAGATCTTTAAACATAGTAAACATACCTTGTGTGCCACAGACTGCTCCCAAACACGAGGGGACAAGTAATGCCTCTAAAACACTTAAGTTGGCTTTATTAAACATTAGATCTCTAGCTGGGAAAACATTTTTAATTAATGATTTAATCACTGAGCACAGCCTTGATTTTATGTTTTTAACTGAAACTTGGTTGGACCAAAGTAACAGTGGAGCTGTTCTCATCGAGACGACCCCTCCTAGCTACAGTTTTATCAGTGAGGCCAGGGTGAGCAGGAGAGGAGGAGGGGTTGCTGTCTTATTTAATGAATCATTTCAATGTAAGCAGCTATCTCCTGGAAGTTTTCAGTCTTTTGAATATGTGGCTTTACAGCTGAAGGCCCCATCCAAAGTTGTGTTTCTTAATGTTTACAGGCCTCCCAAATACTGCACAGACTTTTTTAATGACCTCAGTGAACTGCTGTCTGTGACCTGTGTTGATTTCGACTGTGTAATTATTGCTGGGGATTTTAACATTCATGTGGACAACCCTCAGGACAAAGGGACTAAAGACCTGAGTAACACTCTGGGCAACTTTGGGCTGACTCAGCATGTAACAGAGGCCACACATAATAGAGGACACACTCTTGACCTACTGATCTCCAAAGGCCTGAGCATTTCAAAGGTTACTGTGTCTGATGTGGGCCTGTCTGATCATTACTGTGTTTTCTTTGAAAGTAAAATCTCAGCCCACACAAATATATCAACAACAGTGATCACAAAACGGTGTATAACTGAACACAGTAGTGCAATTTTTAACCAGGTCTTCCCATTAACACCTGACCTGTCCAGAGGGTCAGTCAATGAGCTCGTCAATAGCTTCAATGCTAACATGTTAAATGTAATGGACACTATTGCTCCCATTAAGGTGAAGGTTATCTCTGGAAGGAAAAAGTCTCCATGGAGAAACTCCACACTGGTGAAAAAAGAAAAAAGAGAGTGTAGGAAAGCTGAGCGCAGATGGAGAAAAACAAACCTCCAGGTTCATTATGACATTTATAAAGAGAAACTTCACAATTATAATTTACAACTGAGGAATGCAAGGAGGTCCTACTTCTCTGACATCATCACTAAAAACAGCCATAATGCTCGGGTCTTATTTTCTACAGTTGACAGGCTAACAAACCCTCCTGTGTCAGTGGCAGCTGAACTTCATTCGACCATGGCCTGCAATGACTTTGCCAAATTCTTCACAGAAAAAATCCAAAAAATTAGACAAGCAATTGGTACATCAACAGCAGATCCAGGATATGTACTGTGTCCACCAAAAAACTGTTTAAACACCATGAAACAGTTTCAACCTATTAACAGCAAAGACCTGGAGGACATCTTAGGTCAACTGAACTCCTCCTCCTGCTGTTTAGATGTCCTGCCAACAAGTTTTTTCAAAAAGGTCTCAAAGACTTTAGAGTCAGACCTGTTACAGATCGCCAACTTTTCTTTATTATCAGGTGTGTTTCCAGAATCACTAAAAACTGCTGTAATCAAACCTATACTGAAAAAGGACAAGTTTGACAAGACACAAATGAACAACTACAGGCCGATCTCAAATCTCCCATTTTTAAGTAAGATCATTGAAAAAGCAGTTTCTCAACAGCTCAGTTACTTCTTAAAACAGAATAACTGCTACGATGCCTTCCAGTCAGGTTTTAGACAGAACCACAGCACTGAAACCGCTCTGACCAAAGTGTTTAATGACATATGTCTGAATACAGACAGTGGAAAAATGTCAGTCCTAGTTTTACTGGATCTCAGTGCAGCATTTGACACAGTTGACCACAACATATTACTCAAACGACTGGAGAACTGGACAGGTCTTTCAGGAACTGTACTAAACTGGTTCAAAACATATGTAGAAAACAGGAAATACTTTGTATCAATAGGTAACTTCACATCTGAGCAGACAAGTATCACATGTGGAGTTCCCCAAGGTTCCATCTTGGGACCCCTTCTGTTTAACATCTACATGCTCCCACTGGCACAGATTATAAAGAACAACAAAATAAACTATCACAGCTATGCAGATGACACACAAATATATATCACAATGTCACCAGGAGACCGAGGCCCTGTACAGGCTCTTGGTAAATGCATTGAGGAAATCAATGACTGGTTGTGCCACAATTTTCTCCAGCTAAACAAAAACAAAACTGAGGTAATAGTCTTTGGCGCCAAAGAAAAACAATTACAGGTCACCAGAGAACTTCAATCTATACATCTAAAAACCACAAACCAGGCGAGAAATTTGGGTGTAGTGATGGATGCAGACCTAAACTTAGAAAAACACATTAAGACAATAACAAAGTCAGCTTACTATCACCTCAAGAATATTTCAAGGATCAAAGATCTGATGTCTCAACAGGAGCTGGAAAAACTAGTCCATGCATTCATCTTTAGTAGGCTTGATTACTGTAACAGCATCTTTACAGGTCTACCTAAAAAATCAGTCAGACAACTACAGCTCATTCAGAACTCTGCTGCTCGAGTCCTCACTAAGACCAAAAAAGTGGACCACATCAGTCCAGCTCTGAGGTCTTTACACTGGCTGCCTGTCCGTCAGAGGATAGACTTTAAAGTTCTGATGCTGGCCTATAAAGCTCTGAATGGTTTAGGACCAAAATACATCAATGACCTCCTGACCCAGTATGAACCTTCCAGATCCCTCAGGTCATCTGGATCCGGTCTTTTATCAGTTCCCAGAGTCAGAACCAGACACGGAGAAGCTGCATTCAGCTTTTATGCTCCTTATATCTGGAACAAACTCCCAGAAAGCCTCAGATCAGCTGAAACACTCAGTTTATTTAAATCCAGGTTGAAGACTCACCTGTTCTCAGCTGCATTTGAATAAAGCACCAAATCCACACTTTAAGCTTAAATTTCAAAACTTACATTTTAACTACTGATTTTATCTCTGATTTTATCTGTTTTGATTTTATATACTGTTGTTTGTTTGTTTGTTTGTTAATTAGTTAGTTTATTTGCTTGTTTTAATCAATTTTAAATCATGCTTTTTATTTGTTCTTGTTTCTAATGTCTCTGTAAAGCACTTTGAATCACCTTGTTGTTGAATTGTGCTATACAAATAAACTTGTCTTGCCTTTAATTACCAAATGATTTCAGGTTTTTACAGGAAACTTGAGGAAATAAAGTCTGAAACAACTGATGAATAAAGATGCACATCATCTGCAAACTTAATATTTGTTGAAATTTGCTCATTAATGTTGTTGTTGGACATTAAATCCATTTAACAGTAAAGTTACTGAAGTCTTTAAATTGTTAGCCTGACAATAAAGAACATTTAGAGTTTAAAGGTGTAAAGATGTGAATCGTTTTGGACGTTTCTGTACTGGGAACAAATAAAAGACACCAGCGTCCAGTTTGTCACAGCAAAACAGATTTATTGATGTGTCACTGAGTCCATGATTGACTGGAATAATCATTTTTACAATAAAACTGGTGCATAGATGATTCTGACCAATCAGACTGCAGATTCAACAGTTCAACATGCAAACTCTGCTGACTTCAAACCGGTAAATAATATAAAGCATCAGGATGACGAGGTTACCTGTAAACTTACATTCAGCTCGGTTTAGGACTCCTTAAAGAATAAAATCACACTTGAATTTACATCTTCAGTTATTATAGAAAAGTATTCTATCAGCAGCTGATCGTTTATCCCAGAAACCGTAATCTAAGAGCAAACAGTAAATACGAGTTAGCATCACTCTGCTGAAGCTTCTGCAGAGCCGATTATTACAAACACACGAAGCTCAAACACTTTAAATAGTGACAAATAACAGCTCACTCTCCTCAGATTACAATCAAACAGGAAACCAGTGATGCTGCATACTGGTTCCCAACGATCGTAACATTTCCCAGTCAGATCAGCAGGAACATCCTCTGCAAAGTGAAACTTTCTTAAATGCTTAGTTACACATTTGCTTCGGTTTTCAGGACTAAGATGCTGCTGGTTGCTGTTCAGGTGTCTCACCAAGCAGAGCGTGAGACCCTCAGACTAAACTAGAGTACATGTTTTTCTTCTACAGAGCCATAAAATGTGACTGGCAGCTACAGCATGCTTATACGTGAACAGGATGTGTAGTGAAACTAATGACAGTGCAGAGCTGCAGAGCTCCTGTCCTATATGGGGAAGAGCTCCGGCTCCTTGTAGCAGATATAATGAGCATCCATGCAGCAGTCGTCGTCGCTCCACTCAAAGCCCGTGCCGTTTCCCAGACTCATGATGGTGCACTGGCCTTCCTCCACCCCACCGGGCTCGCCGTCACCCCAGGTGGTGCTGTTGACGCTGTCCCCGTTCACCCAGAACCACTCCCCGTTCAGCGAGCTGCGCCGCATGCCGATCCACACCTCTTGTACAGTGTTGTTAGTTAAAGACCTGTTCTGGTAAAGTTTGCCATAGATCTGTTTCTGGAGGTCGGCGCTTGACAGGCAGAGCAGCTCTAGTTTGCGATCAGCGCAGGCTTTAAAAGATTCACGCCAGTCGCTGGGTTGTTCTTCCAAGTCTAGAACCTCGGGGGTCACGGCGCAGCCCCTGAAATCTGTTCGGGAAGAAGAAGAAGAAAAGGCTGAAATCAGAGGTTTCACAAGACTAAACATTAAAGCAAACGTCCGAGGCGTAAATTTTAGGGTGCAGTCGTTCACATTTATTGGAAGGAAGCAGCTAAAGAGTCGACGCTTGCTTTTTCCCTGGGCTCCTGTTTGCTCTCATCGGGTTCTTTCTTTAAATCTGTTCTAGTTTGTATTTCAGTTGTTGTTGTTATCGCAGCTCCATCACTGCTCTGTGCGTCTGACGTTTGTGTTTCCATTCTTGAGTCCCATTTTTCCCACTTATATAAATCAAAGTTTAGCTTCAAAGGTAAACATTTCTGGATTCTTTATTTATTTCTGCTTTATTTTGCTGATCATGGCTCACATGTGTGAGCTGCAGCGGCGATCGTGGCTCAAGAGTTGGCAGTTTGGAAGGTTGCCGGTTCGAGCCCGGCTCGGACAGTCTCGGTCGTTGTGTCCTTGAGCAAGACGCTTCACCCGTTGCCTACTGGTGGTGGTCAGAGGGCCCGGTGGCGCCAGTGTCTGGCAGCCTCGCCTCTGTCAGTGCGCCCCAGGGTGGCTGTGGCTACAATGTAGCTGCCATCACCAGTGTGTGAATGTGTGTGTGGATGATTGTGTAAAGTGCTTTGGGGTCCTTAGGGACTAGTAAAGCGCTTTACAAATGCAGGCCATTTTCACCATTTATCCTTCTAGTTCAGGCCTCACAACCGTGAGGAACACTCCTGTCCAGACGAAGATCGCCGACAGGCTCCACGGGGAGGGTGGAGTCAGGCTGGCTGTACTGACAGTGCAGCATATTAATGGAAGGTAAACGGGAATGACGCCTGCAGCTCTACAAAACGTGGGAGATCTTCCTGTGGAGTGCACCGAGGCTGGTGTCCAAGCATCAGGAGCCACCTCACGCTCCTACTATCAAAGCACTCCTGAACCCACGACAGCATCAGAGACATCTTATCTGGACTAAAGAGGGAAAGAACGGGACTGTTGCTCTGTCCAAGTTCTCTTGGAAATGAAAGGCAGCATCAGGCTCCCGGACTCTTGACGAGCAGACACTTAGATGCTTGAGTCTGCGGTCGGTGATGATTCGGGGCCGTGTGCCATCTGCTGACGAACTTTAAGGACTTAGCACCCGCCCACAGCTCACCTGACCTGACACCCCAAATCAGTGGGAGAGGCCAAACATCTGACACACCAATCCAAGCTGAAGGCCTGTAAGCAGCTGTGCTTCAGTGAGACCTCAGCAGGACAAGCTGAGCGCTCAGGTGAGCACGCTTCAGAGGCTGGACGTTTCTGTACTGAGAGTCCTGCGACTGATCTCGTCTGATTTTAATGACGTAAGCATCACAATAAAAAGTCTGCATTAAATTACAAACCAAACTTTTTTCATGATCTTTGTTTTTTTAGATGCACGGGTACATATGACGTGTCCTGCACACAGTGGATATTATCACTAACTGTGGAAATCAGCAGCAGTTCCTCACCTGGGCTTGAACTGACGACAGGTGCCTGGTTCCCAAACAAAGTGCTTCCATTGTTCCCGCTAAAGTAGACGGCCATTTTGGAGGAAGTGTGCCAGATGACAGTTTTACCCAAACTCAGAGGAACTTGTATCGAGCTGTAATTAGTCCCCTCCAGTTTCGTCCAGTCTGCACTTGATATGTGGTTATTTCCAACACGAACCCCGTCGGTGACGTTACTGCTGACCACGATCACGGCGTAGTTCTTGGAGATCGTGGATAATGCTGTGACCACAAAGCAGCAGGCAAAGTTTGCTGTTGGGATCAGAGGGAGAAGTAATCCCGGCCGGTAGAGGATGGCTGTGCCGGCTACATCATACGTCGGTGAGCTTGAGGCGTAGGGCGTGACGCTGGTGGAATCGTTCTGTGCCAAAAGTACCATCGTCTCTCCCGCGGCATCCTGGGCCAGAAATGGAGGAACTAAGTACTTCAGCGTCCTGCCTGGGGCTGGCGGCAGAATGGCGTACAGCAGCCCGCAGCTGCAGTAGCGCTGGACGGCGCAGGGGTGGCCAAAGAGGACGGCCACTGGCTTTTCAGCTGTCACGTTTTTAAACCCTGCACTCTCATTCAACCAGATCTGAGCAACCTGGCCTGACTGGAGGGAAACTTCTTGCGTCTTTAATCCTCCGACGTTCACGTTGTTTTGCTGCTGAACACCGTTGACGATGATGATTCTGAACGGGCCTCGCTCCGTCACCGTCTGCACAACTAAGTCCTGATAATTGTTTGTGGGTATTGGTGGGATGAGGTACGTTGTGCCGAGTTTGTCTGTAGGTATGACGACAGCAGTCTGCAGACTGTCTTCTTTACGGCTGATGGCTTGAACGGTGATATCTTTGTTGCTGTCAATGGTCAGAGTTTTGTTGGAGATGTTTCGCTTCCCGAGTTCCAGACTTGCATTCGCGATGAATTTCCAAACAACTCCAGCGTCCAGGACCTGTTCCTTAGAATTGCTGTACTCTTGAACTCGGACTGTTGTCTCGTTTTTCAAAGCAGTGATTATGACCATGTTTGTGGGCGGGCTGGGGTAGTAGCTGGCGATGTTCTCCGGAAACACAACGGTAAAGTTTTGGCCAACGGTGTCGTAAGGCACAGGGCCCGTGGACTCTGGTGAAAGAAAACACAGCAGCTGTTTAATGAGGAAGAAACAGAACCGTCTTTGTCCTTCCTTTCTACCACATTTTCAGGAATTCTGGTGAAAATTATTCCAAATAAAAAGAGAATTCTGGATGATTCAGCAGAAATATTCTGAAAATCAAAAACCCTGCCTGATTTAAATTTGGCTTGATCTATCCCAGCATCCTCCTCTGTCACACCAACCCTCTGCATCACCTCTTTCCTCCTGCCTGCAGCTCCATCTTTATCCTCCACCCTCAAACCACCTCGTCCCTCTGACTCGTTTCTGATCCTGTCCTTCCCGCTCATGAACATCGAGCCCGTGTCTTTGTCATCGTGCTACGACGTTTGTGTCCATGCATCACAGCAGGTCTCACTGACTCACAGAATAAACTGTGCAGGTGATCGAGTGGGTAAATGTAAATGGCATCAAGAACATGTAAAAACACGGACAAAAGATCACAGATTGCAGACTGTATATTAAAGATGGCCGTGGCCGGCCTTTGACACCTTTTGGCCATCACCATTTTTGTTTTTAAACCACAGCTGATTATCATATTGAACAGCAGCTAAGCTTGAAAACTTCAGTCAGGTGATCATTTCTATAGCAACAAGCAGACTACAGACTGAACACACCCATCGCCGCCTCAGAGGAAGTGTCCATGCCCCTGAAACAGAGCCCTTCACTTCATTGGCTGGTTTGAGAGCAGGTGGGTGGAGCTTCTGTTTATTTTCATAAAGACCAAAGAGCAGAAAAGCTGAAGGCTAACAGGGATGACGTTACACTGACACCCTGCTTTTAAGCCGTGTTGAAGCTCGAGCGACACGTTTAAGCCGAGCACAGAAACTCAGGTACACTCGATCAGCTGAGCAGGAATAGAAAAGCCCCCCCTCTGTTGTTATGAAGACGCAGCATCTGCAGCCCTTTTCCCCTTTATCTGCCCGGGTTGACTGCTTTTCCTTTGCAACCCACCACGACCGTGTGTACATGCTTGTCGTCATAGAAACATGTCTGCGACGTCATTATTATGTGACACAAACACTACAGCAAAGGTGGAGGTCGAAGCGAACGTAAGCCCGCCGCTCGGTCTGTGGCTTTCCTCACACTCGTTGTTTGTTAGCCATTTCCTTCGTTCCCGAGTTTCATAAATGGCGGTTTTGATTTTGGTGAACGAGATGCTACCGACCAGCCAATCGGTGGCGTGCAGTCTGACGATGTCACATTTTAGTGCGTGTTTGGATGGCTTGGAGCCCCGGCTGAGCAGGTGCTGAAATAGTACCGGGTACTATGACCTAATGGGAAACCCTGGAAACCGGGGCGAGTGGATCCGAGGAGGTACTAATGCAGGGGTGGGCAACTCCAGGCCCCGAGGGCCGGTGTCCCTGCAGGTTTTAGATGTGTCCATGAACCAACACAGCTGATTTAAACGGCTAAATTAGCTCCTCAACATGTCTTCAGTTCTCCAGAGGCTGGTAGTGAACTAATCATGTGATTCAGGTGTGTTGACCCAAGGTGAGATCTAAAACCTGCAGGACCCCGGCCCTCGGGGCCTGGGATTGCCCACCCCTGTACTAATGGAAAAGGAGCTTATGTTTCACATCGGGCTGTAAACGTGTTTATTTCTGATGCTCATGTTAACAGTGGCATCTACGCTGAAGCCTCTGGTGGACAGAAGGGGAACTGCAGGTTCACAGTTGGATTATCAGTGTTTCAGATCAAACTGTAAGCATGCAGATTATACTGGAGAATAAAATGATGGGTTCCAACAAGCTGCAGTTTGTTAGTAAAGATGGGTTAATGACAATGTCAAGATTAAATGTCAGTAATGAATGTTCGGTTTGAGTTTTGAATTCTTATTATAATTTGGATCCTAAAGCTCTTTTGCAGTGAGCAGGTGGGAGGAGTGATACTCTTCATACAGTCTGTAATATTTCACATGTAGCATCTATGACCCCAAACTGCAGGTGACCCAAAAGAAGCCCAGGTGTGCTGATCGTCGCGTTTACCTGAGCTCCTCGCTCCCAGCAGCAGCAGGAGGACCAAAGGATACATGATGGAGGAAAAACACCAACGTCTCCCTGCGACGTACAAAGACACGTAAAGAAACAAAGGATCACATGAGGTTAATGTCCTGCTGCTGCTTAACTTTGAGTTCAAAATCATCTGAGATATGACGTCACATTTACCTCAGTTTATCATCAAATTACAGAAGTGGCTTTGATATGAAGCTTCTGTCGACACAAATGAAAAATATCAGGAAACACTGAAAAACTGCAAACACAAACTCAAACACGTTTAATGCTTAAATAATAAATCAGAAAATAGATCACATGCAATAAAGTCAAATATTTTAAAAGTACAAAAACATTTTATCAAAATACAAATGTATGAAAAAGAAAACCGGGCCGAGCTAATGTTCAATCAAATCTGAAGAAGCGTGAAACAACAAACGGCTCTGTGATCGATCGAGCTGCAAACGGGTCAAAATCAGAATTTGTGCCTTTGAGGAGAAACCCGAGTCTTACCTGCCGGTCTGCGGTCAGCGGCTGACTGTGGGGAGTTTTCCACAGTCACCTTCTTTCCTGTCCTTCAGGTATGGAAACGATCATTTGTGAGTCAAACTCGCAGTGATTTGGAAGACATTTGCATGCCATGCACATCAGTGCAGGTGTGGCTGGGGCCTCGCGACTGTGCGAGCTCCTGCAGCTAAAAGCACCAAATCGATCTGTCAGAGCTTCGATTCATCTTTGATCCTGTCGTCACATCTGAAATGTCTCATCTTGTACTTGGTGTGGTCGTTCGGACAGACAGGAGAGAAGCCGTCAGCTGTTAAACCTGGATGATATTTCCTGTGGTCAGAAACGTCCAACCACGAACTGACCTCGGCTTCAGTCGGCGTGCACATTAAACACGTGCTTTCCTCTGATCAGCTGATGACAATAATCAATCAATCAAAATGTATTCATATAGCACATTTTAAAGACCGCAGTACACCAAAGTGCTTTCCAGTAAAATCCTGATACAGATAAAAAAAAATCACAATATAAAATATAAATTACAGATATAAATAAAATAAATAAAATATAAAATAATTACATAATCTAAATGCAGAGCCAGATGTAAATTACCCTAATTAGCCCTGAATGGCAGGTTAAACAAATACGTTTTTAGGCGTGATTTAAAAGACTGAATGGAATCTGATGCACGAACATGAAGAGGAAGAGTATTCCATAAGCTGGGTGCAGCAACGGCACGGTCTCCCCTGGTCTTCAGCCGAGACCAGGTTGCACTAAGAGCAGCTGGCCCGATGTTCTCAATGCTCTCTGAGGGCTACAGACAGAGATCAGTAGTCAGGTGCCATATTGTTTAGGATTTTATAAGCAAACAATAAAATTTTAAAATCAATTCGGTATTTAATAGGAAGCCAGTGTAAGTTGGCCAGAACAGGAGTGATGGAGTCGTACTTTCTAGTGCCGGTCAAGAGACGTGCTGCGGCATTTTGGACCAGCTGCAATCGCTGAAGAAGAGAAGACTGGAGGCCCGAGTAGAGCGAATTACAATAATCCAGTCTTGAAGTGATGAAAGCATGAATGTGTTTCTCCAGATCTTTGTGTGGTATGTAAGGTTTAGCCTTAGAAATTAGGCGTAGTTGGTGAAAGCTGGTTTTTACCACAGTAGAAACCTGTTTATCTAGTTTGAAGGAGCTATCCATGAAAACTCCAAGATTCCTAACAGCATCAGTGAGGTGGTTAGCAACAGGCCCGAGTGTGCCGGTCAGTTGTCTCAGAGGCATTTTTCTATCAAAAACGATAATTTCTGTCTTCTTTTCATTTAAAGTAAGAAAGTTACGTGATAACCAGTCTTTGACATCGCTCAGACAATCAAACAGAGGATGTAGTGAAGATGAAACATCCCCAGTCAGGTGGAGGTAGATTTGAATATCATCAGCACAGCAGTGAAAAGAGACATTATGTTTTTCAAAAATGGAGCCCAAGGGCAGCATGTACAGAGAAAACAACACAGGACCCAGCACCGAGCCCTGGGGCACTCCACAGCGAAGAGGGGCAGAAGAAGAGGAATATTTTCCCATCATGACAGAGAACGACCTCTCAGAGAAATATGATTTAAACCATGAGAGAACTTTTCCTTTAAGGCCTACTACTTGTTCCAACCTTGCCAAAAGGATTTCATGGTCAACCGTGTCAAAGGCTGAAGTCAAATCCAATAGAACTGAGACCGCAGAGCGCCCAGAGTCGGCGATGAGAAGGTCATTGAAAACTCTTAGTAGGGCAGTTTCGGTGCTGTGACGCGGTCTAAATCCAGACTGGAGTTTATCACTTATACCGTTTCTCTCTAAGCGGGTCTGTAGTTGCTGAAGCACTAGTTTCTCTAAGACTTTTGACATGAAGGGAGTTTAGAAATCGGCCTGTAATTTGCTAGAGTGTTACGATCAAGGCTGCTTTTCTTGGTAACAGGTTGCACGACTGCATGTTTACAGACAGTCGGAACACAGCCAGATGACAGTGATGAGTCCATTAAAAATAACAATAAAGGTGCTCAGCTCTTTCTTTTAGCAACTCTGCTTCTACACGCAGCGCTTCAGCTATCAGAGTGCAGGCCACCTCCTGCCAAACGCTCTTCCTCTCCACCTTCATCAGGCGCTTCTGTGGACTTGCTCCCCCCCGCGGGGATAATCGAGTCAAACAGTAATTAATGGACGAGGTTATTTTAGGGAAACAAAGGTCTTTGGGAGGAACTGGGACATATTTTAAAATCAGTGACTTTTTTTAACATTTTCTGATGAGAATAGAAAAATCCAGAAAATGTATTATTTTGTCCTGTTATCTGTTCTCACAAATGTGTCCACCCGTCTGTGCCTTTCTTTCCTCTAACAGACGCTCACAGCTAACCTATTTAAACCTGTTTCTCTGCACGTGTTTTCCATGCAGCTCTTTGTTATCCAACACTTGCAGCTGTGTGTAACAGTGGTGTGGCTGTGAGCAGTGTTGTTGCTACAGGCTCTGCTTCCTGATCTCATCTGCAGTCAGTTTGAAAGTCAAATGAGGCTGAGCTCGCTCTGAGCCGTGTTTTACAGTCAGCGTCCATTTAAATGATCCCTGTAACCTGTTTAAAGGACAGCGCGTCCCGTCTGTGCTGTTTAAATTAGTTTGACTGGAATTAAAACAGGAAAGAGTAAATTCAGAAAACAGAGATCAGCTTCCTCATTTTTTTAAACATCATGTAAAAACACTTTCATCTGGATTTGGTATCACAATTAAAATTATTTTTGTGTGTGTGTCCCGTTTGGATCTTTAGCCATCAGAATTGTTGTCTTAAGGCCAAGAAAGATGCAACTGCAAAGCTCTCTCAAAAACATTTTGAGAGAGCTTTGCAGATTATTTTAAGGTCTACATTAATAAGGGCTATTGGACGATAGCTTGAAGGAAATACAGGGTTGTCCAGAATTCTTTGTAAAAATCTGGACCTGGAGCCTTATTATTGGGCATACTTATCAGGCTTCCTGGAGTTCACCTGGCGTCAGTGGCGAATCCAGTGCCACTGCTTGGGTGTCTAATAACTTTGGAAGAGTTATGTTGTCGAGAAATTGATCAATTTCGTTTTTAGACGGGTTTATTTGTGGTGTATATAAAGTTTCATAGAAATCCCTAAAAATGTTGTTTATTTTTTTAAGATCATATATTGTGTTCCCAGATAAATCTTTAACAGCACATATAGTTGTTTTTTCTTTATTGATTTTTAACTGGTTAGCAAGAAATTGTCCTGATTTGTTACCGTGTTCATAATTTTGCAGGCGAAGTCTTTGTACTAAGAATTTAGTCTTTTTATTAATAATTTCATTTAATTCTAGTTTTGTCTTGCGTATTTTGTTTAATATTTCTTGATCTTGGTGTGACACAAAGGCTTTTTCACAATTAAATTTAAGCTAAAAACAACAACAAAGTATTACATAATGGGATCGTCACTTGTAGTTCACAATTTGTCCACATGGGGGTGAAGTTTCCCCTCATTAAGATTCAACAATTAATGTCCTCATTACTGCCTGCTGGGTTCCTGTTTCTCTCTCTCTCTTACACACACACACACACACACACACACACACACACACACACACACACACACACACTGTAATCCTCCTTGTTGCCCTGCCTGTTGTGTAACTGTGAGAGCTCTTATCTAACGACTGTCTAACAGCTGCATCACCAAAGACTTCAAAGTCATTGTTGTTAAAAAAATCTCAGGTGTGTTCGAGCTGTGATTATACATCATTACATTATACATCGATGTGTGATAACTCACTTTACCACACATCGACACATCTGTATACATGTAGCACATCAGTATATCTGCTCATCTATATAGCAATATAAACATCTGTATACTCATTTCTACATAATCTGTCATAACTGCTCCCAGCTGTTATCCTAACCGTATCTGTATATAATCTGCTCCTACTGAACTTACTGCTCTTGCAAACTGTATTTTGTTTTCCTGTAGTCATACATGTGTAATGACAATAAAGTTGAATCCTCAAACAGTCACACAGAGAACTCAGACGAATAACTCTCATCATCTCATTCGATATGAAACTCTAAGCAGAGCTCACATTAGTGTCAGACGGAGAACAGCTCACATTGACAGTCGGTAAGCTCGCTCAGCAGCCGCGGAGCAGAAGCCAGGGGGGGTTGCAGTGACGCGCCCGTGAGCTCCGCAGGCAGCCAGCCGTGCCTGAGTGACCGAGCCCCAGGCCGAGGGGCCGGGGGCACCCCACCTCCGAAGTGGCCCGAGCAAGCCCCAGGCTCCAGGCCCCGATAAGCGGCCACCAGGAGAGAGCCGGTGTGTACCTGGACGCCCACCCCCGGACACAAAGAACCACCAACGCACCGATGTCTGAGGGGGGAGATAGGCCTCCAAACCTTGGAGGGCCTGAGATGTCCCCAGAGAGGTGGCGCCTGACACCCAACCTGACATATAGACACAGACATACAGGCACACACAGACACAAACATCCATTCCCACCCTCATGCTCTCATATGCACTTACTCCACACTCAACCAACGTGGAGACAGACATAGAGAGACGCTGTGCACACAATCACACTCCCCAAGCGTACTCTAAGCCCCGGGTCTAGGTACCCTTGCCCCTGGAGGGGGAAACTGCACCCAGACCCAGGTAGTGTTACCCTTTTCCCTGCGGTGGGGGGAGGCAGACCACC